CCAGAGTGAGGTTTTTCGATGTTAGGGTCGCCGCCAGGGTGTTAAGCCCTTGCTTAGGCTCATGCAAGTTCTTGCGCGAGTAGGGTGCCTCGTTAAGGGGAGCCGAGGGAGAAATCAACTTTATTTTACCTAGGTTGTAAAATTCCTAATAAGTGGCTGCATGTAAAGATAGAAGTAAGGAGATCATTCAGATCCATATTGGTAAAAGGAGTTACAACATTACTATTATAAGGTGCAGTAAGGAGTTAAAAATCACATAGTAATGCACTGGCCTCACCTTAAGGACCAGTTTTAACGGGAGCTTGTGGTGATGCAGTGATTGTTGCACTCTTGAGCGAGATCACTAAGCACCGCTGGTGCACGCATTGTACCGATCACGACACGGCTCTGGTGGAGGAGGGATTACTTGCATATACTTGGAAACCGGCAGAGAAAGATACCGCCGTCAATCAGGAGGGCTAGATGGGTGTAAGGAGATGTAGCCAAAGCTATCTCTATGGACTAAGTTTCTTAGACGCTAAGAATTTGTTAAGATCATCACGTGCTCAGTGGTCTCAAGCTCATTATTGTAAGCCTCGAGCAAAATGTGCCTTGACTTGCGCTCAGTCTAGACATTTTGTTAGTTTCAAGCAAGTCCCTAGAAAGTGATCTCACCGCTTTCTTCAAATATTTGCAAAAGAGCTTTCAAGGAAAAGTGTAGGCATTGGCATCATGGGAGAAGTGCCATCCACCAAGGAATGAGACCGATATGTTTGAATTATGATAGGCTATTTTTGAACATTGCCGGGGTAAAACAGAAGGGGACACAAGACGCTGAAATAGCTGCTCCTATTTCACAAAATACGCATGACACCAAAATATTCACAAGGTTATGGATAGGTTAAATTATTTGCTTTCAGTTTACACGAACTATTAAAGGCATTTATCGAGAATACACAACTGCACGATTGGAAGTCAAGCCTTAGTTGGTGCAGCATGGAGTGCATTACAGGGCACAATCCATGTCTCATTGCTACATCCATTCAAGATAATCATAAGTGGTAAAATAAGAGTGTCAAAATCCATTCTCTTAAGGGTAGAAGGTGGAAATGAGACTAGAAAATGGGATTAGCAGCTTTCAGGATCGCACAAAAGCACTTAGGACTCTCATATGTATTA